AAAAACATACACTTTGCAATTATGGTAATACAACTGATCACTTTAAAAAGTGATTATACAAGGAGATTTATTAAAAGGTGAATCGGCCTTCAAATAAGAATTACTAATTTACTGGATAGCCAACTGGACCTTGTTCACAAGGAAGGAGTTAAAGCAATCTATACTCAAACAATAGTCACAGAAAGAGATCTGCGACCCCAAACAGCTGTTGATTTACCACAAAGAGCTGTTACATCAAAGAATACATCTGGATGAATTTGCACTAATCCTGGATCATTCAGTACAGTCAACAACATAAGGCAGTGATTTCAATATAGGAACTGAGCTGTAAACAGCCAAGGACAATAACCGAAGGATGGGCTTGTTTCAAGGCAATTTTTGTTTATCATGGTGATAAAATAAGCGCAAGTGCTTTTGGAAAAAAATTCCCACAAAATATAAAGTAAAACGAGGTCGGCAATTCAGGCACATTTTAAAGGAGCGTATGCAAATCTCTACGAATTGATTTTAAAAAAAGATTAAACTTGAAAATTAAAACAGCTTATAAAAATACTTCAGTGCACGTCATACAGGAAAATAGCTGATTAATCCTAGCCACTTTTGTTTGCTGTGATGTGTAAGCCAAGCAAGAATTCTCACAGCTAAATACAGCGGCTTGCCTGACAAGGGAGGCTTTCACAGGCAGTAGTGACGTCAATTTTGGGCAGAACTGTCGAGGGCTCTGCTGCAGGCAGCGCTGTTACTAGCAGAGAACCAATCACATTCCAGAGCACAACCTTTGAACTCAGCTACATCACCACCAGCTTCCTGTACTTCCTAACTACACTATGCAATGCAGTATGTCTGTCTAGTTATGCAGCGTAAAGCAGAGCCATTTTGTCTCTGTGAAGTTGACTGCAGCTGACTAAAAGCTTAAAAGACAGCTAACCTTTCTCTGTAAAGAAGATACCAATGCTTTCACTTTTCACAAAATAGTCTAACACATGCATACAGACTTTCAGTTAGCAACACAACTTAAGTTACTCAAAGAAAACTAGCAAAAATCCTTCAAATAAATGTTGAAAACAGGCTCTGTACAAGTCATTTCTACCTTCATAAAATGGCTGCCAAATAACCGACTGGATTCCAATACAAGAAACACAACTGCATAACTTCTTTGGAGCAAATACAGTATCTATCACCAACCACACAAGTGAAGCACATTTCCTTGCTGACATAAAGTAACTCATTGAGTAACACAATTATATTTGTGTCAGTTTCTCCGAAATAACACTATTCTGAACAACAAAAATTTAAACATTCTATTCCCCCTTCAGATTTTTAGATGATACTATGTGGAACACAAAACGCCTAACTTCTTTTTGCAAGCAGAATCTGACAGCAAAGTTAGCATATGTTTTCTTAGAATCATTTTAACCACAACAAATAGATCAATCATCCGAAAAACCGTTATTTTCTTTTCCAAATTCTCAACCTGCCCCTCAGCAGATATTTTTTGGATAAAGGTGCTCATCACCAACTAGGCACTGTAATTGCACTTGTCCTTATTTCCAAGAGGATTCATTTCAAACTTAATATTTAACTACATCATTCGAAACTCCAGCATCAACATTCAGTATATCCAAATAAATAGGCACATATTCAGAACTTGCCATCCATGCAATAGCATACAACTCAAAAAGCATGCACAAAGCTCATTGTAAGAATGAGAAAATGGGACTACAAAATCTCAGCATTTAGCTTAAACTAGGAATCCAGTAGTAAAGTTCAAATCTGTTTTACCAACACATGCTCCTCGGAATAAACAGTGGAACAATGCATTGAAATGGCTTATAAAACCAAGCAGCTTACTTTATGAACACAATGTTCAGCAAAAACATTTTATTTGTTAAAAAAAACCTTTGTGACTGCAGTTGAAGAGCATTCTGCAATGCCAGGTTCAAACCCAAGTTTCTTGGATAACAGTACAGTTATGCTTGCCACTGTAGCTACTCAAGAGATCACAATTTAAAGCCCCTACTCCAATTCAGTGACACATTACTATAATGAAGTTAGGTCAATGGCTATAGGCTTTTGGCAGGTTATCCTCTCAATTATGGAGCCCGAAAAGCACATATAAGCAGTGCACCTGCAAGTGAGGTAGCTTTTTTTTGTACTATTAAGCCCCTTGTTTTTGTACTGAAGATTAAACCATGTTCACAAGTGAACAAAATCTCCAGTGTGCAGAATGAAAGCTCAAGGGAGTGATGAAGCTTGAAGCTACTAATTCTTTTCAAATGACATATGAATATTCAAAGGTTAGTGCAAATATTTAGTTTCTAGAGTTTTGTTCAGCAAAACAAAATTACCCTAATTGCTTTATATTGTGTAGTGATGTGAGATCTTTGCATATTTGAACTTTCCTTTTTATTAAAGAAACATTAAAGGGTCTAAATTGTAGAGATAAACAACACTGGAACTTACCAGCAATTTCTAAAATGCATTCATAGATTAAGTCTTTCAAACTGGTGTCTCTCAATTGTAATGACCAAGCTGATTTTCAACCATAAGAGAAGTGATACAACAGTGTAACATTCCGCAAGCGATTGCAAGTTTCTACACTTACCAAATATAGCAGTATTAGCACCATTTTCATTAAACAGGTAGGGAAAATGTTGGTTTTTGAATATTGCCAGAATATGACAAATCACTTGCTACAACAAATCACTCACCCTAAACAAACAGATGGTGAATCTCAATTTGTTTTTACACAATGTACTAATGTTATCAATCATTTTCTCAGACTATGTAATAATGACACCAGAACCCAAGGTATGGTAGGGTAACTTTATTTACACAATGTCATCTCTTTAACAAACTCTGTCTGTAAGAATGAACTCACATCAGTAGCTGTTTGAGTGGCAAAAGTAGATAGAAACTGCAACATGGAGTTTGGAGGTTGAAGGGTCAAGTCTGTGACACCAGTGACTGTCTTAGTGGAATGAACAGGTGCTCCCATTCCAAATGTTGGTCCATCATGGACAACTTTAATAATATTTCCTTCTTTGTGAAGCAAAAGTACAATGAAAAATAACCTGCCAGTAGTTTATAATATAGTCGGGTAATATTTCAAGGTATCAAAGCATACTGAATGAAATTTGAATCCTTCCAGATATATGCATGCCCATAGAGGACACACCAAATTCCATATTATTGGTGCATTTTTTACAACAAATGGGGCAAATCTTAGCAAAGGATACTCTTTCCATCTAAAAAGCTGTTTCCAACACCCACTGACTATAATAGACTGAGGCAGATTGTCCATACTTCATTAGAAGCCACTGTACATCTACAGAAAGACCACTAAACAGCAAGCACAATGTAATTAGGTTTCTATGGAGCATTTGTTGAACAAACCACCAAGTTGCCTTAGTTTAGCACTGAATTATTCCAGTCCAGTGAAACCAGCCCTAGAACATACCCAAGATCAATCCTACCATAACAAAGGTTGAAACTTAAACCTCAGGTGACCATTCAATGGAAAGGGCCACCTATGTACCTAGAGCAAGCCCCGCAAAAGCTAGAGTCTAGTTTCAGTGAAATCAATGAAATACATATACATGTATTCATCTTCAAGCAAAAAGTGAACATTGCAAGTTTAGTACTACATACATGTTTTTGAAATAAATTATTAAACAGTTGACCAAGTCCATCCTTATGTAAATTATTGCAATCTCATTTAAAATACTTTTAGTGGGGTTACGTTGATGTCAGGGAAAAGAAAATCGTCAATGATCACATTTTGAAAACAGCAAACAATAAATATTACTTCCATTGTGGAACATCTTTTGAAGATACAACCGTATTACAATGCTTCAATCTTAAATCATAGGTCAAAGCAACTAAAACTCAAACCTCGTCAATTTAACTAAGCTAACTGCTGGAGAATTCATATTTTTAAAAGGACAATTTTCGTAACATCCACAAATTTATAAATAAACAAAAATTTCCTAATCCAGGTTAGCATCTTTCAATTAAAAGGACCATCTATGGCCAGGTTGTCTGGGAGGCAACAATATCCACTGACCTGTTAAAAGTTCAACAATTATTAAAAGTTATAGAGTCTTCCAATGTAAAGTTTCAACTGTTTAATGCCATCAAGAAATATCTGTAATTTTTGCACCACGAACATGTCATCTGATGCAATGAAATTAGCTTAGATACACATATACAGAATCTGAAGGGAATGGAGTATTGCAAAGTAATTAAAACAATTATAATAAAGTTTAAAAGGTGTATTTAAGATAATAAACATCTTCAAGAAATACAAAAGCATTTTGGGGATACAGGACATAGAAGCATACAAGTAATAACCCAGGGATATGGTACAGACAATATTATTCCAATACAGGAGGTAGGGACACAAGCATAGTAAACTTTTCACCAAATTGTGATAAAAATTTACAAAATACCCTAAGACATATACTGAAATGACATGGTGGTGATAAAAATATAGACCAAGGAGCAACTTTCCAACAGGCACTTCTTAATTTATCTATAAATATGAATTTTTTTTCATTCATTCAACTTTTTGTAGTGTATTTACTACAATTTACTTCTATGGGTTTACTATGGACACCAAATCCTCAAATTCTCAAACCCGTCTGCATTGTGAGTAAAATGGTGCATTGCAGCAACAGCAATGACAAGGTCATCTTACTACAGCAAGAAGAACGGAAAGAATATATTCGCTATAATATAAAATAAACAATAAAAGTGGTCTCGGTAGGTTTACATCGTGTTTCCATTGCTGAATATAGGCCCAAATGGCATATCATAAGTTGGAGAAGCTGAGAGAAAAAAAACAGGGTGGGGCTTTTTAGGAATCTCAAGGTCATCGATTAAAGATTGGGTAAAAACAGGAAAAAATTGTTTTAGATGTCGAGGATAGGCGATTCTAAAGTAACAATGTGGATCAAAGCCCCCCTCAAAAAATGGGACAGAAAGTCGTGAGCTCGTACCTGGAAGCATTGCTGCGGTCTGATCCGTCGTCTTCGGGGTTTTTATCCTCGTTAGACATCATTTTGGGATCAGGGAAGGTTCGGGGCTCGGTTTTGTTCTTGGGTGCACGTGGATGTGGGGTTCCTAAGTGCAAATTTCCCCTGTCAAAGTTGGTGAAAGGCAGACAGTCCACCGGAGTCAGCTGCTGGCTGGTCGAGTTGCAAAGCCCTGACGCAGCATCGACATTGTTCAAACACTCAATACCATTGTCGGCCTCCGACAAGGTCTACAGAAAGACAATTTTTTTTTAAAAAAAAGAAAAAATGGGGGAAAATTAAATCGCAAAATAAAAAGGCAACACCAAAAACAAAGTTGCAACACAGCTTTGTTTTCATCCTCTTAAAAAAAAGCCACACAACACCAGCACAATTTTAATTACGTCATCTCAGACTATCCTAATTTTATAATAAATACATTACCTATTTAAAAAGGTTTGCTTCACAAAAAATACAGATTAATAAAGACTGTAAACATACCTGTTCCATATATCTCGAGGTTCGAGTTCCAGTCACTGCTCCGTCGACCTAAACTTCGCTAAATCGAAAGCTGCTTTCGCTGCTCTTAAAAACCCTAAGAATTAGTCTTAAAAGCTGCGATTTTTCATCCTGTTTCTTCTTTTGATCGGCGTTTCTCGCGTGTTAGGGAGATAGAGAAAAACAAACACACACACAAAAAAAAGTCGTTCAAAAATGGAGGTGCGCCATGTCTGCAAAGCTCAAAAACAACGACATCTGGGATCGGTCCGCTTGCCGGAAAAAAAGAATTTTTTTTTCTCTCTCTACAAACACACACACACACACACACACAGAGCAAAAAAAAAGAGGGTAAAATAAAAAGCGACCGGGGTTTCTCCGCAGCCCTGCTTGAAGGGGCACCTCTGCTGGGAGTTTGCACTGAATCGAAGCGCAGACTGGGTTGAGCAACGCGGTGAAGTTGGGGAAAAGTTGCATTAGGTGTACTGGAAGTGCAGTGAATCTCGCCCAGCCACCGCCGCCATAGAGCTTCTTCTCAGCTCTGAGGCTCCCTTCCCTCTCTTTGATTGACAGCAACGACGCTGCGAAATAATTGCAACATTTTCCCCGGACTCAGGTGATGGACCAAGTGAAAAGACCCACCCCTGCCACACAACAAAAAACCCACAAGGGCTTAAAAGGTAATGGAGCAGGGTAGCCCCCACCTTGAGCTCCCATAAGATCTCCCCACACCCCCAACCCAATACAGACAGCCTATTTCCCCTGCCCACTTGCAACTTTGGCCACCCTCCCTAAGCAAATCTATTCTTTGTCATGCCTCCCTCTTATCCCCTCCCCTCGTTCTTTCAACAATTCAAATGCCTCCATGGGTGGAAAAATACTTCCTCCTCTGGCCGGAACTGGATTTACAAGGATATTTTCTTCATTATATGTGGGGAGGAAGGGTAATGGAGGGGCTAAGAGATGGAATTTAAATGGGGGTGTTGGGGGGGGGGAACTCCACTTTCAGTAATGGTCAATCACACCAGTCTCCTTCTGAATGAATGATTAGTCATTTTGTCAACTCTTCATAAATGATTAAATATTCAAAATGTCACTCAAAGAATATTCTAGAAATAATCCATGCTAGGTCTTGATTGGCATCCATTTTCTTTTTCTTTGTGCAACATATCCCAAAAGATCATCTTTTGTTACATCTCTATCCAAAAAGAAACCAAACTGCACACTTTTCAGTGTTTGGTTTCCTTTATGTTTTGTAAGCCCAATGATTTGAACATAAATGCCACAGTATGGAAGAGGAAAAATCCTATTACTTGTAGTCCTTTAGATTTACAAATGGTAAAGATCCAAAGACTATATCCAATGGATCCAACATTGGGTGGCAACTGAAATAAATCAACCTACATGGCCACAGACTGAAATGCCAACAGAACTGATTCCTCAACTGCAGTTGCATCCTCAATGACACCGACATCAATCCATAAGATGCAAATGACAAAGCAGCTGATCCAACTTTCTTCATGCCAACTGAAGATGTACCCTTAAAGAATTTGCACAACTAGTTACTGGCAAGGTAACTCAATGTATGAGTAAAATGGATGACCCACGCAGATGTATGTTTAAAAGAGAGCAAATAGGCAAGAACGGAACATTCAACTGATGCCATCCACTCACTACTGTGGATTCCTCATAATAGGTACCCACTGTTGCAAATTTCCATTTGGATCACTTATCAGTGTCACATGGCTCTTGTATGTCAATAAATTTCAGTTTAGAGATGGTAAGAATGTATCAGCTCATCCTTGATCTTCCCAACATCTGAAGTACAACTAGTGAAGACTATTAGAAATTTTCTTCATCCATCATTTGTAAATATGAAACCGGACTGAAACAGCTTGTAATAATGCATACCAAATGACTGATCATCTATTTATTAGTTATGTAGTATTATTACTGCATGGCATCATTTCCTGATGTTCACAGGCATCATACTTTCATGGCAATGGTCCATTGATTCCAGTTTGAACCTTGCAAACAATTGATTAAACTTCGATCTTCTAGACAGTTCTTCACACAGAACTAAAGAGACACCAGTTGCTCATTTTCTTTCAAGTGTCCTACTTTAACAATTATTAATCTTCCTGTCTTCATCCAGGTTATGACTGGTGACAATTGGTGAGTAATTGTCCAAGGTTCGACTATATGAAAACAGTAACATGTTCTAGCTGTAACAAATATTTTCCTCTAGATGATCAGGTAGCTTTGTACAAAGCCACAATTGGCAACAAGTTATTAACAAAAGCCATTTCTGAACATATTAACACCACCAATGGCATAAGGAAATCCAGAAGGCAAGACTAGGCAGACACAATGTTTTCATTTTCTTCCCACGTACAGATTCTAAACATGTACATTGTGTCACTTACAATAGCTTTCTTTAGAAGGTAACCAGAAACCTTAAGACATTTTCTTCAAAACCAGAGTTATTTAGAACCCCAGTTGGTAAACGTGCACCAAACTGATCTGGCAAGATAATTGATCACTCGCTGGTCAAATAAAAAAAAATGATAGGCGTGCCAAATATAGTCAGATTTTTAAAGATACAATGTTCTACCAATTCATTGAAATTCCCTGCTTCTCAATCACCATGGACAACTTTCAACTCATTTCCAAACTTAAAGGTTGAATAAAATTCCAACAAGCTAGGTTATCACTTCCTGCACAAATTTTCTCCATTAAAACAATAAGACCATTTTCAGAAGAGGAACTGAATTGGCTAAGACACTTTGGGACATACTACATTGTAAAAGGTAGTTGTACTAGTCCAATCCTCTCGAGCGATTAGTGGTTAACAAACGTTTTGACTTCAATCATGTCTCTCTGATAATATTCTGCTTATAAACTTTTTGAAGAATTTCAAAACAAATTTAACTAATCCTGTTCTGCAACAGGAGTGGTCAACCATTGTCTAAAATTCTGTCAGCAATATCTGATAAACAGTTCATGCCTACTATTCTTCATTGTTACATGAAAGAACTCAAGCAAGCCAGCACCTCTGCAATATACTTCATATTTTCACAATTAACATTGCAACCACTGAACACATTAGTTGTTCCAAACATGACTTGCTCAAAATCAATAATCCTCAAAATTTCAAATACGCTACAATCATGATGAATGACAGTATATTTTACACAAGAAGTCTGATCTAAGGTGTTCCAAAATTGTACAGATGGTAACTTTGTCTCAGGTGTATACATTAAATCAGTTAGTTACACTTTTGTCGCATAGCTACAATGTACAAGTCTCCAGAAAATGCCATTTATTTATTAATACACTATTTATGACTTGATATAGATCTTAAACTGTCAGTTTCTTTTAAAAAGGCAATCCTAAAAGATACTAACAAAAACTTGGCATGTTGATATCTTTGCATGGATAGACCAATATCAGAACTGATGGCTTTTCCCCAGTGAAGGTGACAATGTCTCACCCAAATGCAAATACTGTTCCTCTCCAACACACATTTCTTCTATTTGGAAGCTAGTAATTGCTTACAGTACTGCCAAAGTCCACAAGTATTCCACTACACAATCCAATTCACAGAATATTCAAATTTCTTTTATTCTGATTAGTGCACACCCAAAATCTCAGAAGTGGAAAGTAAGGAGCGCAACCAAAAGGTATTTTACTATTTTAAATTCATGTTTTTCTTTTACTAACATTGATTCACATTTTGGTCTCAGCATTTTTCAGGATTTGTCAAAAGTCAGCGAACGTTACCTCAGAGTACAAAAGGACCTTCAATCAGATGGGCCAATGGGCTGAGGAGTGGCAGGAGGAGTTTAATTTGGATAAATATAAGGTGCTGCATTTTGGGAAGGCAAATCAGGGCAGGACTAAGATCCTGGGGACTGCTGCTGAACAAAGAGACCCTGGAGTGCAAGTTCATAGTTCTTTGAAAGTGGAGACACGCGTAGATGGGATATTGAATCCATTTTGTATCCTTGCCTTTATTAGCCTGTGCATTGAGTATAGGAGTTGGGAGATCATGTTGCGGCTGTACAGGACATTGGTTAGACCACTTTTGGGATGCTGCTTGCAATTCTGGTCTCCCTGCTATAGAAAGTATGTTATGAAACTTGAAAGGGTTCAGAAAAGATTTACAAACATGTTGCCAGGGTTAGAGGGTTTGAACTATATAAGGAGAGGTTGAATAGACTGGTGCTATTTTCTCCAGAACGCCAGAGGCTTAGCGGTGACCTTATAGAGTCTTATAAAATCATGAAGGGCATAGATAGGGTAAACAGACATGGTCTTTTTCCACAGGGTGGGGAAAATCAAAAACTAGAGTGCACAGGTTTAAGGTGAGAGGGGAAAGATTTAAAAGGGCAACATTTTCATGCAGAGGGTTGTGCATATATGGAATGACCTGCCAGAGGCTGGTACAATTACATTTAAAAGGCACCTGGATGGAAAAATGAATAGGAAGGAATTTAGAGGGATATGGGGCAAATAGGACTAGATTTATTTAGAATATCTGTTCGGCATGGACAAGTTGGACCAAAGGGCCTGTTTCCGTGCTGCATATCTGTGACTATTTACCAAGGAGAGGGGAAAAACATGAATTGGTCTAAGGTTGAAATTTGAAAATTATAGACATGTCCAGGTCACACTCAAATAGAGTACGAATCAAAATCATAATTCTGGAAGTCATGAACGGTTATGGTTGTCACAGTAAGTTATCCAACAAAATTCAACTTCAGCATTTAATGATTTACTGAACTCTATTTAAACCACAGTATTCTCAAAATGGTTCTCATACAAATTTCATTTCCTGAGTAAGTTTTGTTCTACAGTGGTTATACAATCAACATTTTGGGATGGGGGGGGAGGAGGAGCTTTTAGTTAGTCTAAAATAGGAAACAGCAACCAAAAAGATGTAGGGAAAATAAAAAGAACTAAAATTAAATAATTGTTTTGCTATAATTAACCCAATTTTAATAGTACTAGGTCAAAGATAACTCCTCCAGACATGATAAAACTCTTGACACCAAACACTATGCTAATCCTTGAGATGTTGAGGTGCACGTTTATAAATTATTCCACACTCAGTGCTCATGTACGCATTGTGAAAATGTTTGTGGAGAAGTTAAAGCAACAAGAACGAAGTACACAACCAATTATCTTGAAATAAAATAAATTTATTTTCAAAATAAAGAATTATATACAGATATAGAGGTCAAATGATACCAAAACAAAATAAGTATTTTACAGGCAGAATTATTTTAAAATAATTGGGAGTAATGAATTTTATTTTTAAAAATATAAATCATAATTTAAAGTATTGCTTTGTAGTGGCATGTAGTTAAACTAGTCCATTGAAATCAACTTGATAAAAAAAAGGTATTTTTCTCAATAGGCAGCAATACAAAAATTATTTTCACAGTTTGCGATGCTTTTGTAAACATCAATGTCAATTCTCTTGATTCACTTGAGGGATTATTTCTTGTTCTATAGTTGCACAGTTAATGCACTCCAATAACAATATTATTGGGTCAGTTTATCATTTGCCAAGTGGCAAAGCTTTCGATAGTCCACTTCCTTTATGTCCAAACAAGTCAAAGACAAAGCGGGTGTCATCTTGGTC